CACACACACACACACACACACACACACACACACACACACACACACACGCACACACACACACACACGCACGCGCGCGCGCGCGCGCGCACATTCATGCACTGTACATCCCCTAACCCATTATTAATATGGCACGCAATTTACCTCGGAATACGGTTATGGCCAAGTCGCACCTTACGCGCCCATTGCACACATTCATTTTAAAACATTCCTAAGCCCACACACACACACTCACACGCTCTTGTACATTAGTGATACAACAGACCTCTGCTTCTGCTTCCGCCACAGCGGAAGTTCCGCTTTTCACATGTTTCCGTTCTGCTTCTGCAACATTTATAACGGAACTTTACAACGAAATGGAGTGCGCGTTTTTTAGTAGTTTTGTGTTGTGTAATAATTGCACCACAGAAGTAAATCATATTTCTGTGAAATGCCATGTAGGAAACTAATTTGTTGAGTTTTTTCTAATATTTACACTTCCACTTGCGCATCCGTTTCCGTTTTCGCGAAGATTTACTTTTTACATCTGTTTCCGTTATGACACTTCTGTTGCATGACTACTGTACATTAGAGTCTGTTACGTAATTACGACTCTTTCTTCGATCTTGTTCTGTCTCTTGCCAATCACTGACGTGGAGTCACGCAATTGGCGGCGACCAACTGGACTTCGTCCAATGAGCCGACCAGGGGGTCGATTCAGAATCTTACGGCAACTCAGTTGTCGACGGATTTCTTTCCATTTTTATTCACAATACCCGAATCGAACGTCAAAGTAACGTATTCGAAACTGAATCGAAATGACGTCACACCCGTACGATTACTCGAACTTCTCGACCGGCAAAAGCTCCAAACGTTTTTCAGAACACGGTTATCGATAGAAAGTTACCGAACGTCCTATTGTTTACAAAGCAAGAATGTAATATGGAAGTCTCTTATTATTTTAAATAGTCTGGATTTTGTTCAATTTTATTAATTTAGTTTAATGCATTCCTAAATTTTAGGCCTTTAAAGTCTTAAAAATGTATATAAAAGGATTTTTATTTTTCATAAAATATACTCGTATTTCACCGACAAATTCCGTAAACGCTGTTGGATAACGATATCGTATCCTAATCGGAATCGAACGTTTAATTCTGAATGTTCGAATAACTCGGAAAGTACCTTTCGATTCGAGAACGACAACCATTGACTTACAATTATATGGACGTCGAGTCCGCGCTAAAAAGTGTCCGAGCTTATAGGGCGTTAAAATCGTATACAGAGCGTCATTCACGCTTTAGTCTTCGTTTGTTCGCCTGACAGCGAAGCAAGCAAGATTAGACAGTACTGCGATGACATTACAATTTAAATTCAACGTTTCCTTTACATGTCACTACGCTTAAATAGCTTGACTTGGGACATTTTTTTCGTGGTTTTTGTATTAGACCCGTCGTCCATTTATTTATAAGTCAATGACGACATCCAATCGAACGATTCGGTTAAAATATCGAAGAAATCTGATTCGGGGTCCTGAACCTCTCCTCGCGTTCCAATCCGATTCCTATTTTTTTTTGTAAATAGCGAATCAGCGGATTCTGTGTGCTTTACTTTCGTCAATATATTAGTTTAACCGAGGCATGAGCTCTTCCAATTCGGTATTACTTTTTAAACTCTTTTAAAATCTTTAAATGATGTCTTCTGAAGGATTCCCCACACCACCAGACCTTTTACATGAAACTTTATTAATTTTCTCATTAAATACGCTAAGGGTTTCGTTTACAAACATGCGTCTTCGTCGTCAAGAGCCAGATCGAAGATTATAAACGCGTCCACGCACTACGAGGGCCAGGAATGTTACATAAATTTAGCAATAAATAGCATTACGTACTATAAAAATATTAATAGCGCACGAACGTAATGAAAATGTCGTAAAAACGTGAATGGAATTTTTTTTATGAATCTACGTGGCCCGTCGTAGAAGCACGTTAAACTTTACACTTAACGTTTAAATTCCAGCTTTATGTCGCTTGCGATAAGAACGGTCCAAAGTCCAAAATGTCAAGCTAGATGCGCGATTGACTGCAAGTTTTAAATAGGCTACTCTGCATCTTTTTTGCACCCTACTAATGGCGTAGCATGGGGTGTACGGACGGGGGGCCATGGCTCCGGCCGGCAAAGTAATGGATGTGGCAGCGAAACTTGACTAGTCAAAAAATTTTTACTTTAAATTATAAAATAAATGCCACTATTTGAGAAAACGATATTCTGAACAACAGAAAGGTGACGACGACAGGGTAACATAAAAACATAATCGAACCGACCCAGCCTGAACGAACTACTTTTGTAATCGTGAAATTTTTTTTAGTATCACTGGAGCCCCTTGTGAAACAGTCCGTTTATTATATTTCTGCCGCCAAGCAGTAATGTCAGCATTACTGTGTGTTCCGGTCTAGAAGGGTACGGGTGCTGGTGAAATTACAGGCACATGGGACTTGTCAACTTACGTCGCAGGGTGACGAGCGCAGCGGCGGTGCCTCTCAGATCCTTGCGCTTTAAAGCTCTGAGTGGTACTACAAGTGTTATCGACAGGTGTGTAGCTTACCATGCCAGTCGCACGACTTGTTCGTCCCATCTCTACTATAAAACATAGATAGAGAGGGCTGCAAATCTAAAGTTGGCCCCGGGCGGCAGAAATTGACGCTACGCCACTGGCACCCGTGCGTTACATGAACTAGCGCAAGACGCAAATAAAATCAAGTACTGTAATAAGGGAGTTGTAAGGGTAGCTTCCCTTACTCTAAGTTGTAGTTTGCTGGAGAGTCAATCAGTTTATCACTGGAACGGGATGTTAGTAATGAAACGTGTCCGCACTCAATGATTCCGTTTATTGAACTCTAAATAAAGTAAACACGTAATAGCTTTTTATGTTAAAATCTACGTCAGCGTATATAGTTTTGCAATTATTATAATATTTTTCTAAGTATGTCGAGGTAGCTCGTACAGGAGTCGTAATGGCGATCCGAGCGGAAGCGTACCGCGCAACGTATTTATCGCTCTTATTGCGTGGAGATACGTACGTTGGTATGGTTGGTTGGTATCGTATGGTTTTTTAGTCGGGTACGTTTTGTACCCGACTAAAAAACCTTTTATTGGATGTTTAATTGTACAGTGTCGATGAGTTTCTTTTGAAACAATTTTAATTTTATTTTATTCGACAAGCAGTAGTTATACTACTTTATTTTATATTCATTATTATTATTATAATTTTATTACTGACGGTCATAGTTATCCCTTGACATTGTATTTCCAATTGCAATATTGTGACATTGATAACATGAAATAAACGATTATATTCTATTCTATTCTATTCTATTCTATAAAGGTTATTCTGGTGTAAAATAAATGTGATGACTCCCTTATTCGATAGTAGCTACAAGATTGCACTGATAGGCTGTAAGGAAAGGTTTTTGCATACGTGCATTACGTTGTGTGATCTGTCACCTATGCTTTCTTAGCTGTAGAGGCGCATTTAACTGCACGCATGCAGCACGCGTGCAGCGCACGTGCAGCGCACGTGCAGCATGCATGCAACGCATTCGCCAGATCTTTACGCGCCCTAAGATTTGAATTTGTTTGTTTTACATTAAAAATACAAATGATCACAATTATTTTATTATTTTTTCTTATGTATCGTGTTGTTCTTAAATGTTGTAATTTAATTTTCGTCGCTCTGGTTGAATTAGAAACCTGTTTTTACGATTAGATCACGTGGTTTATTAATATGTAGGTACTAATTTTTCCTGTGCACTTTGTGTTATATACCTACCTTGTGAAGTGATTGTAAATATTTGTTTCTACTCGTATATGTGCTGAATAAATTTTTTATCTAGCTATTTGTTATTTGTTTGTAGTTAATATTGTATTTCAAGTAAAATAAAGTGGTTTTTAAGTAGTACCTATTTATAAGAATTATTTGATTGCTCTGCTTTCTAACATGTCAACGTTGGAAAGATAAAATGTCTAACGTGCATTTGGAAAATATTACAGGAGAGCGATTTAAGGTAATTTTGTTAGGAAATAAAAATCACAACTATAATTTTATCTATTATATGGAAAACTAGAAAGTTTAAACTTATATTAAAGTTTAATCGATAAAAAAGCTCAAACTAAATTTTTAAGAAAGTCACGATAATGCAAATTAAATCTCAAACCACTGTATTAG